CATGAACTGTACGGGTAATGATAACTCCCCCCTTTAGGAAGTTAAGTGAGACGTGGCTTCGGGGATGACTGTTTAGAATGCTCATCGGATTACTCCTTTTAGAAGTTAAATCCGAGTGTCCGGAGCTGCAGTTGGTCTTCGACCGTCAACTTGCTTACATTCCTAGGCGTGAAGGCGACAAGTACAGTCCTACGGCCCTTCGTGCACGCTGTCGTTCCATGCAACTGCCTAGGGTCAAAGGTGGCAGGCCAAGGGCAAGATGTCTCCGAGTTCACCTCTGCTTAGGTCTGGACAAGGCCATTTCCCATTAGAGGATTGAACCCAAATATGACCCCCTTCGAAAACCTCGAGTGATACCACAGCATTCCTGCTGCAAGGCTCGTTGAAGCTGTCACGGTGTGTTTGGGTGATCAAATCTTTGGATAGCATCAAGGCAGTGAACTTGTGCTTCGGGAGGATACTTCGGAAATACCTGCACAAGACTCTAGTTACCTGCGGGAAGAGGACTACATTTTTTGCCTTAAACCTGCAATACCCCCACCGTGCGCGTAAGCACCAGTCGTGAAGGACGTTGCGTCGACCTGGGCTGTTGGTCGAGACGGTTTCTCACCTGGATGGTAAGACAGAAGCTGCAGCAAGTCTGCTGCCACAACTTTCTTAGGCAATGACTCTGCAAACTGCTCCGCTTCTAACACGATTGCTTTTGATACCGCAGCATGAGAAGGGGAACCTTCGAAAAGACACAGCTGCACAAGCATCGCAGGCCACTCTGCAGGTGGAATAACCTTGGTCAATCCGTTCGCGAGTTGGTCCTTGCTGTTGATGTACTGTGCTGAATAACTTTCCTGCTCAAGACTTTCGGACATGCTCGCAACGTTGACGCGATGTACGCGTCCTAGGTGCCTAAGGTTAGCACTATAACAACTCTTCAAAATGGTCAGCACAGTCTCTTTATCTTGATGGAAAATCATGGGTACTGGGTCTTTGCATACGGTTTCGAGAAACGTCTGCAAGTTGATCACTTCTGAGAACATAGCTGATGCCATAGCGATCATTTCGGCTTCTGGAGTCGATCTTGCAGTTGACGTTTGCTTGCGACTCTGCCACATCACAGGGAATGCACACGAACCTGTTCCGATGTGCACAACAACGCCCGATGTGCTGCGCGCTGTGAAAGGACATGCAGCGAAGTCAGAATCAGTGTAGATGCGAAGCTCAGGCGGAGCATCACGCGAGCACGATGCTTGCATTGTCAACTCCCGTGTGTGGTGAATGTACGACACCAAACGCAACACATGCCTGTCTTCCCAAGCGGTCCACCGCGTGACGCGCGAGGCTAGGCGTGACACAGCGAACGCTATGTCAGCCCTACACAGGCGTGCGAGCCAAAGACATCGCATCAGTATGCGTGAGGCAGAATCATGTAGTTGACCTTGGACGGCGACTTCTTCATCCGTCATTGCCGATTCGGCGATGCTCAAGGTTGTAACCTTGCGCAATTGGTCAGGCTTTGTACCGGTAAGCTCGCAGTAGGTTTGGACTATCTGCTCGGCATACTCCGGCATCTCAAACACCAAGGTGGTCGAACTGGGGCCATCATGCCTACAATGCAACCTACCAAGGATACGAATGCCCTCGGGACCAATGAAGCACTCAGGGTCAAGTTTCACTTTAGCCCTCAAAGCCCGCCAAAATGGTGTGTGATGCTTTTCAAGCCCACATAGACTGAGGTCATCTACGTAGATGTTAAGGATTAAGACTCCATCGGCATACTCAAAGAACCAGTTGCTCGGAAACTCTTTTGATTCCTTACCGCCTAATGAAATCAATATCCTTGACAAGTACTCTTGCCAAAGTCGCCCAGCCTGTGGGTGACCGTACAAACTATTGCAAAGTCTTACTACGAGTTTGGTCTGCGATCCAAACTTCTGTTCCCAACCTTCAAGCCAAAGTTCTCTCGGCAAGATTACGTATGTTTCTTCGCGAAGTTCAGACTGAAGATAGGCCTGAATGGCGTCTGAACATGACACTGCGTGTCCGGGGAGGCATCTCCAAAACAACGATGCGTTCAGAGCGACTAGTCCAGTCGGTGTCGTGGACGTCTCTTCAAAGAAAACTAGGTTATTGAACTCATCAAGCACCCTATCCCCCCTGTAGACTATCCTTCCTTTGAACTTCTGAAACTCTGGTGCTAACTCAGCGTGCTTCACGCCACAAAGGGTCATGAGCTCTGCGACTCGCAGTTTGTGCCCTTGTGACCGTGCCTGGCCACGAAGCTGATGCAACGGCATCACAGATGAGTCGTCCCATGTGCCGTTCTGGCATAACCCTTCGGCCTCTTCAGCTATTGCCTCTAAGGCTTTAGGCTCAGCTTGCCACTCGCGTCTGGAGAGATTACGGGTGATTAATGCACTAGCTTGATTCAGCAAGATCAAGGTGGGGAATGCTCTTGAAGTACCGTTGCGGATACAAAGCTTCTACCACAATGTCGGCAAACTCATGTGCAGCAGCACTGGTTGCAGAATCGCTGTGCTCATCACGATAATCACCGGCTTTCTTACCGTGGGCAAAATGCTCTAAAACACGCTTCGAGTTTGATGCGATCGTGAAAGACGACTTGTGGTGGTTACGCTCCCCACGGGCATCTATTCTGGCGCCGTGGTTCGTTACATACGACATCTCATGCTTGTGGGCAAAGTCAAGCCATTCTTTCTGGCGCCATACACCGGAATCTGATGGCCACTCAAACGATACCCTACCGTCTTGTGCAATGATGTGGTTCGCAATGTTCAAAGCTAACACCAACATTCGCATCGATGATGCTCGCCTTTGCGAAAGCTTCCTCGCGTACTTCGGGCTTTGGGAATTCGTGTTGACGCTCTGGTGTGAGGACAAGTGTGTGCATGGCAACGAAAACCAAGCATCTATCCCTGCGATAGCCTGGGACATCACCTGCTGCATGTCGACTCGGACAGGCTAAGACAATGAACTTTGCAACGTTCACACACGGACTTCAACTCTGAGTCATCCTCACAACCGTACTCTATGAGAACATTGTCCCCAGGAAGATCCTTGACCCTTCGGGCCCGGTTCCGTGCCCTTTCGTTCGCAAGAAACTTCTCACTCAAGACACACGCTTCTCGTGTGGGCTCGTTGGCTGGTGACTGTTGTGCGACAACGGCAGGAGCAGGAGGGTCAGGATGGGAGCTCGCGCTAGCAGGTGCTGCACCTTCTCCTTCGGAGGCTGCCGGGGCAGGCACAGACGAAGGATCGGGGAGCTCAACTGCTGGCGGTGCTGCATCCTTTACCGACTTACTCGCTGCAAGCTTTTCGGCCTTGATTAATGCATCAAATCTTGCTTTGCAGACCCTTGTATGTGTGACTGCATCAAACGCACACGCTTTGCAACCAGGTGTTACGCCTAACCGAAGAATCCGATCAAGAGTGATGTATTCGCGCCGTTTGGCAACTGGCGTGGAAGGCGCAACTGCACTAAACGGAACATCAAGGAAATCGATGGCTTCGTAGTCGGCTTGCGTGAACCCTGAAAGTGCGGCTTCAGCTGCTGTGAACATGGGCAGGATGGGATTACCGTGAGGTACATGAAGTTCCTCCTTTGGCACCGAAGTAGCTTTCTCATACCCCGGTTCACGTTTTCGAAGCTTGTTGTAGTCCAGAACCTGATAAACCTCTCTAAAGGAAGCTGGCCCACTATCAAACCTCCAACCTGCAAAGATCCCTGGCGCTGCCGAAGCTTAGAACTTTTCCCTCGACACGGGGTCGAGTCGGTAGTACACTAGTTGTCCCAATTGAAGTTTCATTCCAGTGAACTCGGAATCGGCAGCATTCAGATACCGACTCCCTTCAATCCCGGTGGCTGGATGGTACAAGTTCAATGCATGCGCGGCAAACCTCACTGTGTGGACCCACAGCCCTGAGTGAAGCTGAAAACCAGACGATATGTGAAGAGCCCTTGTACACTCTTCTAACGTGCGGAGTTCTCTCTCTAGCACAGCATTATGTGGCCAACGCCGTTCCAGACTGGGTTCAGAAGTAAACCCGAGCCTAGCGCATGCCCCAATGATCTCTCGGGCGTTGTCCGATTTCACTAGGACACAAGGGCCGGACTTGTAACGGCCAAGGAACTGAAGAACTGACTTGATCACCCCGTCCTCGTGTCGAGACACTAGAGGGAATGACCTGATGTAACCCGTAGCTTCATCACGGATGACAAGGACGACCGTTTCGGTACTTCTAGAGTCCTTACGCACGATGATGAAATCGGCGGCTATGCGCTGACCGAACTCGTCAACTGCATCAAGCTCATCTTCACCCTCGGCGAATCGGACTCTCTTTGTCCTCTTCTTCAGCATCTTGCTGCGGTTACATACATCACAGAATGGGTTCTTTGGTAGATGGGTCAATCGATGCTTTAGGCCCTGGGCTTCAGCAATCAATCGTTGGGCTTTAGAAGCTTCATCTTCATCACCCCCCTCATCGTCTGCATCGTCACCTCGCCCACGTTCGGGTGGAGGGGGTTCAGCAGGCGGTGGTTCGGGAGGGTCATCGGCTGCCGGGGCAGACTCTCCAGCTGCTAAGGCCTTAGGTAACCCAAGATCACCAAATCTGATTCGCTCGCGCAACACCGGCACGAAGTCGTCTACACGATCTGCGTGTATCACTCGCGAGGCGTCCCATGTCAACTGGAATGACTGCTCACTCATGCCGAAAAATGGTATTTGTCCGGGTAACCGTATGAATGGTTTCCGCTGGAGTTCGACAAGCTGGCCTAATGACCGAACAACCGGGCAGTGCTTAAGAATGTACGAATCGATTTGGCCGAACCCTGTGCTGTTGGTTGACAACGACTGGCTACTGTCAGTGATGCCGTTGCCGGTCTCAAAACGAAGTTGCTTCGCCGCTTGGATGTGGCGCTCAAGTGCATCCTTGAGGATCCCTTGTTCCTCAAGTGCGGCCTGGCTTAGCAGGCTTCTACCTGCCCCAGAGTCAGCAACCCACTCAAGCGAGTACCACCCCCCTGAATCACTAGGCCGACTGACTGATGCCGTGATGCGATCTGCCGAATGGTGAACAGTTGCAGGCAACGCTACCGAAAATGCAGCCGCGAAGCGTGCAAAGAATCGGAACGGAGCGGTAATCAATCTAACCGAAGCCTTGAAACCGCGGACAAAGGATGATAGGATGTTGCACGCACTCGCGCCCGTCGACGCTGTTGCTAGCAACGCAACCCCTGCTGGAACCTTTGGTGCAGCCTTGGATGGGGCAGCCTTCTTGGGTGCATCTACATGCTCAAACGGGCAATCCTTACCTCTAGTGCATGTTCCCTTTGGGTAAAAGAAGCACGGTGGTCTTTGACCGGATGACTCTGCTGGCGCATCCTTCGGTGGTGGTGGTTTGTTGGGCGTGGCCTTGCTCTTAGCTCCACCTTTCCCTTTTCCTTTGCCTTTGCCCTCACCTTTACCCTTCCCTTTGCCTGGACCTCCAGCATCTGGGACGCCTGGCGTTGCTTTGGTAGGGGCCTTTGGGGGCTTGTCCGTGCCTTGGCCTTTGGCCTTGGGCCTTCCATTGCCTTTACCGGGAGGTACGGCGGGTGTTGCCTTGGCAGCTGCAGCCTTGGCATCCGCCTTTTGCTTCTGTTTGTTTTCGGCTTCCTTGAGGGACTCCTTGAGTGCCTGTTCATTGCGATCCTCGCGAACTTCGGCGAGCACATCCTCAAGTCCATTCCAAACGTACTCGAAAGTCCTACGCCTTGAACCCGGCTTGGAATCCTTGATGCGGTCTATCGTCCTAGACGGCATCGGGCCACTGCTGCTCGAGAAGTCCGTTCAGGACATACTCAACCCGTTGCTTGAAGGTAACCAAGGCTTGGTACGAATACGACTCAGGCTCGAGATCAAACAGAGATTGCAATGTAACCAAGGGCCCACGCACTTTATCAACCCGATACCTCCTACTGAGGATGGACAACAGCGCTCGTCCCGATGGCATTGTCCCAGCCGCGTGGCACCGCTCTAGGTACGACTGAGCTTGCAAACCCCATTCACCTTTTAGGTGCTTTGCATCACAAATGGTTGCCGAAAGCCAACCATCAAGTCTCGGGAGACCCTCACAGTCATGCTGAAGCGAACGAGTCAAACCGATACTACCGGGCGGATCTAAGCTCTTTTGCAACCATTTCAACAGGATGGACTTACCACTGAAGTCAATCGATGCAATCTGCGTCAACACGGCGTTTCGGTACGCCCTGAACTCGACACTTGATCCCGGAATCTGTGGAAGCATGATGTCCTTTAGGTCCTTGTACTTGTATACACTAGACTCGTAGTCTTTAACATCCCCGGGATCATCCCCAACAACCGGAATGACAGGATCATCCTCGAACCCAGCTTCGCCCTCTTCTTCCTCATCCTCGTGAGGCTCGTCGTCATCGTCTTCGTCGCCAATATCGAAGATTTGAGGTTTGGGCTTCGTTGAAGATGGAGGTGGTGGTGGATGTGCGGGTGTCGCTAAGTGCGAACGACCCGTGAAGATGTTTCTACGGCTACATGCATACGGCGGTAATCCAAACTCAACCGGACTCGGCGCGCTCAAACCACTAAACCCCGAAGCTTTTGCAGAGGCTGGGGTTGCGAGGGAGGGTGCTATTGCTCTAGCCGCATCCTTAGCTTTGGCTTTCCTTTTCGGAGCTTTAGCTTTCGGGCTCAGCGCAACCTCAATCGCCTGTTCAATCCTCTTCATCGTGCCTCCTACTTCACCAGCTAAGGCCTGGAGTGCATCGATGGCCGATGGGGCAGACGAGGCCTCTGCGGTCCGATGTTGATCCGCGCCATTATGGACTGGGGCTTCGGCAGTTTCAACATGGGTTTGGAGTGCAATCAGCTGCTGATGCAATGTCTTTGAAAATTCTTGCTGCTCAAGAATGGTCTTTGCTTGGGCTTCAAGCCGTCGTTCGAGGGCGATATTAAGCTCACCTAGTTGGCGATTCTCGGATCTTAGGGAACTTATCGTAACCTCGGCTTGGGATCCTAGCTGTTGATTCTCGGTCCTCAATGCCCGAATGGCCGTCTCGGCCTCTCCCTGAAGGGTGGCAGCATGAGTACCCAATTGCTGGTTTTCGGACCTAAGCGAATTTATCACAGCTTCGGCTTCCCCGTGAACCGCTAATGTCTCAGCCCTTGCATTGCTAACAGCTGACGCCGCTTGCGATTGCATGCTCGCATGAACCAACGGATCAACGCCAACCTGAACAACCTGTTGCCGATGGGCATGTTGATGAAGGTGAAGTTCCTGATGGGTCACATTCGGGTTCTGAGGGCTCCTACTTGGGGATGGGCCAGGTACATCCGAAGCAAACGTTGGTGCCGGTTGCAACGACGATGATCTCACCATAGGCCCGTGGGACATGGAACGAGTTCTGGACCGCCTGATTGGACCCGAAGATGACGAATCCGATGGCCTAGCAACGTCCCTGTCTCTAACCACGCTCAAGCCCTGCGCCCGAGGGGGCGTGCTTGACGACGAAATCTCCAACGAGGACTCCTCAAACCCCAGTTGCGAAGCCAGTGGCATGCTGGGAAAAGGGGTTTCAGCTGAGGT